ATTTTGAAGGTTTTTTCCCCTCCCTTTTATGTTTGCCAGCTTGAATCTGCTAGAAATCTTAAAACATTCTCCACCAGTGCCTTTTAACAGTGTCCCCATCCCTCAGTAGCTCCTAGGCTTTAACCTTTTGAAAACAACAGGTCCTGAGACCTTGAAAAGAAAGGGCAGCGAGGCAGAGATCACCTCCATTAGAGCAAGGACGGGGAGGGAGGGGGGTGTACCCAAATAACACAGACCTTTCAGGGAGGTTTAATTCACTCCTGTGTCAGGTCCTTCCCTGCCCACCCCGCTCTCTCTGAACCAGTCTCTTGCTTTTCACCTCTGTAGGTCTGAGCATGTGATAAACATGCCCTAATTATTTCCATCTTGCACAGCTGAGCCCTGCAGCCCTTCATTTCCTTACCTGAATGCTCTCGCTTCAAGTGGGTTATATACGACAAAGGCTTTCGAGTAGATTTGTTGTGCAGCGGAACTCGGGTGTCACACAGGCAGCTCAAAGCTCTCTTTCCTTGGCACAGACTAATAAGGGATGGGAATTACTGAGACTTCTCACAGTCCAGAAGGCTGAAAGACTGAGGTAGGGAAGGAATAGGGTCGCAGAACCTCTCTCCTCTCCACAGATTGCATGGGTACCACACCAGTCTGCAGAAATTAGAATTTGCCTACAGCTGGCACTGGGAGATGAAAGGCTTGGCTGCATTGTGACTGACTGCACAACCACAACATCCTGCACCTCGGCAGTGCTGCTCTGCTCAGGGCAGGGAGCAGCAGGAGCAGCCATGTCCCATGTCACCATGACCTTCTGCTGCCCCATGGGTGCCCCAGCAAAGCCTGGCTTTGCTCTGGGCCAAGCAAGTCCCACAGAGCTGGGCAGTGTAAGGAACAGTGGTGCTTTGTGTTATTTCTCATGTTGTTCTCAAGTGTGCTTTTCCAAGTGATGAGCTGCAAAGTGTTCAACCACAGCTGCTGCCTCACTGTACAAGCAGCACAAAGACCCACCAGCTAACACCATCCCTACTTGCACATGCAAATACCAAAGGCAGCACAAGATAGGAAGAAGTGGCGAAGGTCAGACATCAATACCTCATTCCTTGCTGATAAAATGTATCAGGGAAGACCTTCACGTAGAATATCAAGGTCTTTTAATCAGCGCTCTATCTGTATTACACATACAGAATACACTAAGACCAGATTGCTGGTCAACACAACCCCTTCAAAATTCACAGTGCTCCTCAAAACCAGCTCCATCTGCCTCGCCTGCTTACACTGGGTAAGAACACAAAAATCTTCCACAGCAACTCCTTGAGCCCTCCCATCTCCTCACAGAGATCTGTTTCCAAATCACATCATCTGCTGAGGTGTCTGGGGATGGTGCACCAAGGACCTGGGTGGGAGCAGGGAGGTCCCATCCATACCTCAGGACAGGGACAGCAGTACGTGGGAATGGCCATGCCTGGCCTTATCCAGCTCTCCCACAGCTCCTGTAGGGATCTTCTGAACTGTTCAGCTTTTAGGCTTTTTTTTAAACCCATCACCCCCAGCTCTGCTTCCAGATCACCCCCCCCTCCCCCACCAATGTCCCATTTCTCCCAACATTAGGGAGATTCTGCTGCATGGCTTGTAAGATCAAAAAGGTTGGCCAGGCTCTGGCTCAGCTCCATCTCCGCTTTGAAGCTCTAATTACTTTGCTAATTCTGAGCCTGGCATTAAGATGCTCTGAGCACACCTAAAGCCTTCCTCACAAAAATCAAGCTGCAAAATGTCTCCACGGATCAAATCCCTAGTGAGAAACGCTCTAACCTCTCTCAGTAACCAAGAGTAGAGCTTGTCTAGTCATTTGCAATTAAGTTCCTGAGTTAATGAAGCTGCTTTAAAAAAAGAAAAAGAAAAAAAACCCTCAACAACCTCAGGTCAGTCTAATTAAGAAATGTTGTACCTTGCAGTCCCAGTGTATCTTGTGGCAAACAGCTGTACATGCTTTCAGCTTTGACAGCAGAATAAGTGTGATTATTTATTTATTATGTGGATGTGAGGAAGCTTCAGGAGTATCAGCATTGTGCTGCAAGAGAGCTGGGACTACAGGAGAAAAGAGACGACATTCAGTAATGAGAAGGGGGATACTGACCATATAAAACACAATTTTGTAATGAATACTTAAGCACTGCCTTTTCTTTGGGATTAAAAGTATGCAATTGAATCAAGGCCAAAGCAGAGCTTGCCCTCAAGGAGAGACAGTTTGGAAGACAAATGCAATTATACCTTTGCTATTTGCAATGCTATGGGAAGTGGTGAGGAAATCTCATGCAAAAAAAGACAAAGAGTTTGGAAACAATCATGCACTTGGACTTGAGTCACCCTCAGCTCTTTGGGACCCCACCTGCTTGCACAGAGCTGGGATCTCAGATCCCAAATGCCCACTGAGCCACAGGCACGTCACCAGTGGCTGGGATGCTGACCCCTGAGCTCACTGCCTCTTACCCAACAAGCAGGCAGTGACAAGGTGTTAAGCAAAAGAAGTCATATTTCTGCCTAGTTTTCCTTTTTTAGCCAATTAGATCAATTTCACTATCTGCAGAGATGCCGAGGTTAGGGGGCAGCTGCCAGCACTGCTCAGGCACCACTCATCTCAAGCAGTTATTAAAATTCTGCTCGTTAGCTGGGGAGGAGAGACACATCTGAGTGGCCCCACACTGCCAAGAACCCATCGCATCTCTTCCATGTACAGAATCTCCCCACCAAAAAGAAAAACAAAACAGATGGTTCACGGCTGCAGTTAACGGAGGGGCACCTTGGGTTCCTGGTTAGAGCTTTCTGTGAACAAACACAAGGATGCTGGGTTTGCAGCAAAGACGCACAGCAGTGCTCTATCATCAGAGCCATGAGCACTGACTGTGGACATTGGCTGGAGCCATTGGGCGATGCTGGTGACAAATCACTGTGCTGCACTCAGATGGGGGGAAAACAGCCCCACGCCACACCTCTGGCCATCATAACCTTCAGCCTGAGTTGTCCTGCAACCTGAGAGCTCAGGAGAAACCCTAGAACATACGATCTGTTTGCACAAAGGGGCTGGCGGGGGGAGAAGGGAGGAATTGCAGGCAGAGGACGGGCTCCTAAAACCATGGGGGCTGGGAGAGAGGAGAAAAAATAGAGGTTAGAGAGAGAGGAGAAGCAGCTAAACGTGGGAAACAGGAGGGAAGAGGGGGAAAAAGCTTTCAAGAGTATCCACTTGAGCTCTGAATTGCCTGGCTTTGTCTCTGCTCTGCACAATGGAAACGTACAGTAGCAACAGACAGATGCTGAGAGCTGGTTTGCTTCTCATCTGCAATTCCAAACACCCTGTCAGGAATAAACATTTGAAAAGACATCTTATCCAACCATTAACGGATCTAGTGGGGCATTTTTTTCCCCTTTTCTTTACAAAAGAAAAATAACACTGCATTCACCAGAGATGTTCACGCACAGCAATGCCAGCAGAGCCACCCAGGGATGGGCAAAGGGCTGAGGACAGCTATTGAGCCAAGAAGGTGCAGCTGGTGAACTATGAGCTGTGCAGGGAAAGGAGGAGGGGGGAAAAAAAAAAAACAGACAGCTGTATTTTTAACTGATCACGTGCTTGCTTCTGTTTCGTGAGATTTATTCCCTCATTAATCACTGCCCTCCCTTCATTCATGTTAAATATAAAAATGATTAGGAAAGATCCTCATCATGGTTAAAAAAATAATTAGCTGCTACATCATGTTGCACACATTCAGACAGAAAGGAGTGATTAAATTAGGAATATTAAAACCCCATTAATCTGTGCTCAACTTAAGCTCTGCTTGTTCATCTCACTGTGGCACTTATTATTTCTGACACTGAAAGATACTTGAATTACTCGCTGAAACAAGGTCACTATCAGAAAGATGTCAGGTCAGCAATTAGTCAAAGGTGGGAGAAGCTACCAGAGCTGAGCTGTGTTTGACATGGCACAACCGTGTCACCAAGTGTCCCATTCCCAGTGGCACTTGGATGAGTGGGTCAATGCCAGGAGAGCAGTCAGCGTGGGTCAGGAGCAGGGACACCCAGTGCACACTGCACCAGCAGAAGTGCAGGCTGGATATTAGGAAGAAATTGCCACAGGTGGAGCCAGGTGCTCCATGGTAGAGAGCTTTGATGCACTTGCTGCATTCGCCCTCGTTTAGAGGAAAGCAAACAAATTCTCATCCGCAGATCTCCTAAAGCTTTTCTTAAGCACGACGTTGCAGTATGCAAACTATTTACTGCGTATTTCTTCCAGCACTGACAGACCCACCTCTGAGCCTCTATAAAAAGGAAACAGATAATAAAACAGCTAACAAGCCAGCACTCTAATTGACAACACAGAAAGGAGGGGAAAGTGCTGCAACTGCCAGCAGAACTTTGGGGAAGCAGCGTATAATTAATCGAGGTGGGATTTCACCAAGATCCCCCGGTCTTACAAACAATGCTGCAAGACATTTAATGACCACAGGTGAGGAGAGTCTTGGCTTTATTGCTCATTTGAAACTAAGCATGGAGAATACAAAGTGATCCAAAAAGCCGCAACAAAACAAACCTCAAAACCTCACAAATACAAACAAATTGCCCCAAAAATGCTCCTTCCACTTTGCCTTTGGACACCCTGCAGCTCCATGTGCTGCAGAGCCTTCTGGAGCAGGAAGAGCAGAACTGCACCATGCAAACCCTCCAGGAACTACTTGGGGAAAAATAGACAATATATCCCTCCACCATTTCATTCCTACATCTCTATGGAGGAATGCAGCTGGGATGGGAAGAAATGTCATCAAAGCAACCAAAAGATCTTTGCTAAAATATTTATTTCCTATCCATACTTCAGACCAGGCTTTGTTCAGGCAACAGGCACAATGCACCTGCAAAGCATCCAGGTGTTACCTCTGGGGGGGGTTCAGCTGCACACAGCAGCAGCTCATTGTGAGCCCTGGAGGCAAGCTGAGGTTTGTCACTGACTTCACCAAGAGAAGAGCTGAGCCAGCAGAGCCGTGTTGGAAAATCCTCCCTCCTCGTAGTGGTGTAGGCACCATGGGGTTGTGGAGTATTTAGTGGGCAAGACCCACTGTGTTGGAAATTAGTAGTCACCTGTGTGAAAAACAACATACACAGCTCCTGCAGACCTGCAGCAAACCTTAATTATCTCCATCAGGGAACTCTACTTTTAAGGAAAAAAGGAGCAAACTCAGGAACTGTACTGAAACAAGGGGATGGGAAGTTGGGTGGCCAGAAGTAGAGGCTGAATGCTGTGACTGAACTCTCTTGGCAAGTGCCCCTGCCCTTCATCCACTCATGGCTGCACTTAAAAACCTTTTTGTACCAAAAACACTGCTCTCAGGTCAGAGTGGGACAGAGCAAATCCACCAATTTAGGCATCCATTTACTCAAGGCCTCTGTAGTTGGTAGCTTGGTACTACGTTGTGTCCACTTCGTTGTTCCTATTGCACCATTAAAGCTTAAAAAAACCATATACCAATACCCATGAAATACCAATAGCTGGGAAGATTTTAAGAACGCTCCCAAATTATAGCAGTGCTACTGGGGCCACCAAGAGGAGAGCGAGCCCTCCCCGGCCCCAAGCTCTTTTAAGACACTCTTAAATCCCTGTCCTGCAGAAATAAAAGAGGCTTTAAATATAACCTGCTCTAGCACTTCGTATAGCAGCAGAACAGTGGAGAAAAGGACAAACATGATTGCTGAAGTCAAACAGAGAAAATTGCAGGTAAATACCAGCTAGGTGCTGCTCCAAAACCTCCCAGAGGTTGTGATGGCTCAGTGGGTAACGCCCAGGGAAGGAGTTGATGCATGCATAGGTCAAACAGAGCAGGAAAAGGCACAGCTAAATGCACAGTAACTCGTTAGTCAGAGCCTTGCTGTTAGGACTGTGTGGCTGGGTGAGCTTTTGTACAGCTTTGGCACTTTAAATGGTGTTAGGAAATGAAGAGTGTGCCAGCTCTGTGGGAGCTCAGCCAGCACAATGAGTGGCAGTTGTAGTGCCTCTTCCAGCATGCTGGAGCAACAGCCCACTATGCATTCACACCATCACCCCATAGCAGGGATGTGGAGGCAGAAACCTGCAGGAGAAGGGGTTCAAAATGCCAGATCTGGTGAGAAGGAAACCAGGCAGAGATGGGTTCAGAAGATGGGAAAAAAATATGAATTAAAAATATCCTCAAAAGATCACACCGATGTTCCTCCTCTCTCTGCCTCCCAGCCCAGCTCTGTGTGATGTCAAACATCCCCACTGCCACCAGGCAGCCCTACAAGCAGAACAGCTCACAGGGGTACCTCTGGGAAGGGTGATCCTGGAGCAGTTGCACTGTGAGAACTTGGTGTTGCCAGGGAAACAGCTTACTGGGTGATGGAAGGAGCGTTCTGGAGTTGTTGTTTTTCTCCTTGTGGGTGCTGTGCACCCTCACAGCATCAGCTAACAGCCCATCACCAGCCATGGGATATGGGGTAACACACTGCAGAGTCTGGCACAGGGCGAGCAGGGAAGGGAAGGGTGCACACCAGCACTGGAGGCAGCGAGCTTTTATCTTTAGTAAGTAAAGAGCTGCCTAATACTATCAAATGAATCCTCATTAATCAATAATATGAAATCAGGCAGTATTCTTAATGACCAAATCAGCTCTTAAGTCCAGCTCCTCACATCCAAACACGTTCCACACCCTGCACTCCTATCCCAAAGAAAGGAAAAGTTTTGGCATCCTTCTCCCAGCACCTGTCCATCCTGTTTGCTTCACACTAATAGAGATGCCAGCACATTCACACTGCTCTGAATGCATTTCTCATGTTTAATCACGATGCTCAGCCTAAGCCTCAACAAAGTGCAAGTCCTCCATGGGGAGTTACCAGGGCTGGGAGCTGCACCACCATAAGGAAACAGCAGCATCTTCATCTGAGCAAGGGGAGCCACGGGCAGCCTACTCCACTAGAAGTGCCTAAGAAAGTGCTAAGTCTGATTTCTCAGTCACATCCCAATCTGATCCCTGCAAAGCTCCCCATTCTGTAGTCTCAAAGGGGCTCCTCATGGAGATGCTCGTGTGAGCATCCAGGCACCCTGCAGCGCAGCAACCAGCTGGCGCACAGGTGGCCCTTTGATAAATACCATCTGAGAAGGTAAAAAGAGAGAATGGGGAAAATTCACCCGTGTTTTCTGATGTCTTCCTCACTGCAGAAAATCTCCCAGTTTTAAAGACTCAGGATTTGCTATTCTGGGGGTTGGTTGAAGCGGAGTACTTTTTCGCAGGAGGCCACATTCAAGGGGATTTCCAGAGTATTTCAGCTGGGGCCTCTCAAAGCATGGGACAGGAAGCTCTCCATGCTCCTTCAGCCCTCCCAGATAAAGAAGTATAGAGCAGTAACCCTCCCCCCTTCCCCCCCCCCTCACACACACACATGCACCCAGCACACAAGTGGCTCATCATGAGGCCCTGGGAAGGAGGTGACCACATCCTGGCAGCATGATGCAGACACTACAACAACAGGAAGGGACTGGGGGTGCAGGGTGAAACCCTCCGCACTGCAGGATGGGGCAGGGAGGGGTGGGAGAGCAAGGAGCAGCACAGAGCCCCTCCAAGGAAACGCAGCTCTGGGGGGGGGGGTCCTCCCAGCCGCAGGGCAAGCAGATGCAGAGCAGCATCACCAGCTCTATGTCATTTCACTATCAAACATATGAAGTCTGTGCCACTGACTTTGCTTATGTTCCCATGGGCTCCTGCCCCCCAGAAACACCAAACAGCACAGATCTGCACTTCCACTGAAGCAAGGCAGCTTTCCTCCCTCATCTGCTTTGTTCCCCAACCAGAAGAGCTCTGTACTTTGGGGGAATTGAATTCCACTTTCTGGATTATTAACAGGAAAAAAAAAAAAGTCATTCCTCTCCTTCAGCTGCATGAACAACAGCTGTTGTTTTACAGCTTATGGGGAGGGAGCAAGCTGAATTTCCTTGTGGTGACTTTCATTCCTTGAGTTAAGACCTTCTCACCATAGAGGAAAGCCCCAGGCAGGAGGACCTGCAGCACGTGGGGAGGGTCGGGTACTCAGAGAATGGAAGCACAACACATATTGCCACCAAACCACTGGGATAAACAAAACAGTACTGAAGAATGAAGCATCCTAACCCGAATCATCTTCTAGAGTATCAGTAGCACAGAACCGCGGGATGGTTGGATTGGAAGGGACCCTAAAGGCCATCTGGTGCCACCCCTGCCCTGAGCAGGGACACCCACAGCTCCATCAGTGCTCACAGCCCATCCCCTGACCTTGGCTGTCTGCAGGGATGGGGCACCACCGCCTCTCTGGGCAACCGGTGCCACTGCCTCAGTGCAGCTCTCGCGGCTCTGCGGAGCGGAGGAGATGACTCACCACGTCTCACCCAGGCGGAGGTCCCGACACCTTATTTATTTCTCTTCCTCAGGCCCAAATTTCTGAAATCACGACTTTTATTAAAGCCCAGCGCGGTGCAGATCACAGCCATAATTCTGCTTCCCCCCACCTTCCCACCACAAATCCATTCAAAGTGAGTGACATTTGCAAAGTGTATTTTCACGGCCCTCCGTAATCCCTTCAGAATATTAAGACTGCATTACTTTGTCTTTGGTTACATTAACTTCAATTTTCCTTATGAGTAAGTATTTGGCTAAAAATTAATATAGTGAAGTTGAAAAGAATCTTATGATAGGAAAAAGACTAATTTCATCTCTGGCTGCTCAGATACCAGAGTACACTGGGGTTAATGTAATTAACTTACAATTTTAGCCTAGGTTGTGTACATACACTGAATCTCCCTGCTGGAAACAAGATTAGATTTTATTACACTATATATCCTGGTTATCTTCACCATGCCTCCAATATTACTTCCCTCAATGACTTCAAGGCTCTCTGCTGCAATGAAAATGCAGAACCATCTGGTTTTGAGCCCATGCAGTTTATTTAAGGATTTAATTAAATGCTCTAAATGGAGAGCTTCTTTGAATTAACATTTTAAATGTGACTTATTGCAGGTTTAATATTGTCTTAATGCCAACCTGGGAAACTCCATAGCCAAGTTGTTGACGTTTAAATTGAATTCATTTGGGTGGCTCCAGGGGGACTCATTAATTAATCTAAACAACTAATGGGGATTGGTTCTGACTTTTGATGAAGATTATTTACAGAGACAATTTGCAGTGAATAAAGAGTCACAGTAGGCAAATGTTTAATTGAATTTAAAAAAAAAAAAAAAAAAAAAAAAAAGGACATCTCATTGTGTTCAATATCAAGGATGCATCTTGTAAGAAAGCTTTGAAATACCAAGAAAGGGCCGATAGCTCAGAGCTTCCTAGCTGCACACTAATAACAAAGAGAATGGGTAATTACATTTGCCTGCGTAATTTAAAGCCTGTAAGAGGACAACAGGTCTGTCTGGTTTACAGTACACCAGAGACTCCAACACAAAATATTCTGTTTTGATGACAAAGTTACCCCACTCACTTTTACTTACGTAGCAGAAAATGCCATTTTCCAGCCAATCACCAGCTGGAAAAATAGATTCAAGCCCTCCCTGTTGCATTTGCAAACACCTGGGGTAACTGCAAGGAGCTCAGCAGAGCTGCTTCAGTTTATAACAGCTTAATTTCTAACATCCAATCTTCCCTTATTCTTTGATTATATTCACTTTGGTAGCAGTTTTTTGTCTTCTGAGCACCCCATGAGCCCAGCAGTAGCGCTGAGATACGTGGCTTGTTCCCTGTAAGCCACAGCAAAACACGACCTGCCTCTCTGTGCTTCTGTGCTCATCAAGGCAACTCATCCTCCAGCGTTTTTCCACTGTTATCATCATTATCACAGCTTATCCCAAAGCCTGCAGTAACACCAAAGGTTGCCACCAACATGAGGCACTGTGGTGCTGAGGCTCCATTGCCCAGTGCTTCTCCCAGGTGACTTCTGCTCATAAAAAATTCCTTAAACTATAGCCTGGGAATGCCATCAGATCAGACAAAACCACTGTGGCATCACCTCATCCCACAGCCATGGCCAGGCCTGCAGTGCTGAACCCAGCCCAGCCATGATTTTAGTTTCAAATAATATCACAAACCTCGCCTGAAATGAAGAGCCTCCAAACTTCGTTTCTTTCTAGGCTGGACACATCCTGAATGCTAATTTAAGAGCCAATTGAGGGGGAGGGTACATTAAGAAAATGCACATAACCATTAAGCCAGGGAGACTAAAGCATCCTGCCTGGCTCAGCACTGCTGGATACTGTCTAGAGCATCGCCAGCTGCTCTCAGATACCTATAGTGGAGCTCTTTTATGCAAACACCTCCAGTAACAGCTTTTGTGGATCTGACAGCCAGAGTGGTTAAAAATTAGGCATTCAGTGGGTATCCAGTGGAGAGACATTGTACAGCACATCTGAAGAGGGGAGGCACACTCGGAGAGGAAATTCTGAATTGCCTGCAGGGGGAAGGGCTGCTCGAGCAGGCGGGACAGAGCCCAGCAGTGGGCAAAGCTGTGCTGTGAGTGCCGAGCATCACTGGGGCATTGATCCTACAGCCCACGGTCCCTGGGGGCTGCAGCTCCAGGGAATGGGGTGAGCAGACAAGAAGGGGGTCGCATCCCAAAAGCAGCAGCAGCAAAGGTAGGCATTCTGCAGGAGTTGGTGTTTTTCCTCATCATATCCCAGGACTTCCTAAAGAACCCTACCTGCCTGAGTTTGACATGCATAGGATACAGATGCAAGAACTTCTCTTTCCAAGGCTGTTAAACAAAGCCAAACTTCAATAGATTCAATAGATTGGGCAACAACCACTGAAAGCATCTGACCAGGAACATGGGCTGGAGAGCTGGCAGGTGTGGGGCTGCCACTTAGGTTATGACAACATAAAATTCTGGCCAAAATGCACATATATGTGTGTATATACATATGCAAACACACACACAAGATGTTATAACAGTACATATGCATGTAAACAGAACTAAATCTGGAAGCGGGCTGATAGAACACACATTTTTATCTGCTGGTTCCTCTCTCATTCTCATTTCCACTGTTTGGATTAAAATGCATCATTTCCCCTTCCCACATGCAAATGGAATATAAACTGTAAAAGCGGAACATTTAAACAAATATTTGCAGGGCGGGTTTGTTTGTTTTTGAACACTTGCCCTACTCCAGAAGGAATCTGCAGATCACACCAAGTTTCATAGAACACCTCCCCTTTGTTCCCCACAAAAAGGCAGTGGGGTCAGAGATCTGGACGAGTGCAGGATCTCCTGCAGGATTTGCACCCTCAGGCTCACACAAACCAATCTGCCTTGATCTGCCTCCATACCTTACACCAAATTGCTTCACACAGAGCTCGTGCCCATCCTGAAACTGAGTTCCAAGTCAAAATCATCAGCCTGGTCTGGTACCTTTTCCATAACACATCTCAGCAACGATAAGGATTCATTTTTGCAAAACAGAGCGTGCAGAAGGTGTGGACACAATCAGTGTGAGCAGCACAATTTAGTTATTCATTTAAAAAACAATTAAATCCAAGAGACTGACCTGTCTGTCGCTGACATCTCAACTGTCTTCAGGTTTAAATTCAGAGCCAGAAGCTTCCATGTCCTGAGAAGACAAAAAAATTGAATTCGTGTTATTCTCAAGTCTCACTCCTGTGCTTGTACCATTGGTTGCTGTAGGATAGAGCACAGATGGCTTCACCTCTTTGTGCTATAGGAAATCCTTCAGGCCCAGAGGCCCAAGTCCCAAAGGCAGCAGCAGGAATGAAAAGACACTGAGGAATTGATACTTCCCTAACAGTACCACCTCCAGCAGTGAGTCAGGATGGTGCTAAAGCCAGAGTTTCACACCATTACCTAGAACAAGAAATAACATCCCCATGGTGGGCTGCAGGCTTGTGAGGTGTAACAAAGAGTCATGAATGGGACATCCAACACTACCCAGATGTGTTTCAATAAGGCTGAGCAATAAGTGGATGGACACTGATGTCACAGATGGGGCCGTACGCCTGCACACACTCGGGGTTTGTGCATGGGATTTCCCCTTGCTTTCCTGACAAATACTAATTAATAGGACAGCTGATATCCACTGGCTATTTAAATCTGAGATGTACAACAGCAAGAGAATCTCTACACGCCAAGCAAGCAATCTATGTCCCACTTTGGCATGCAAACAACAAAACCTCTGTGTTCAATACTGGGATGCAAGGAACAGGGCTGGCTCAGAGCAGCCTGGGCCAGAAGCTGGGCAAACCCAACTAGAAAGTCCTGTTCCATGCACACACAGGATCTCATCACAGGTTCATGGTGATGTTGTTTGGTAACCAGGTTGCTGCGGGCTGCCTTTGCAGCCTTCCACACTGAGCTTTGCAGGGCAACAGGTGAAAAAGAACAACAAAGCAGCAAAGCGTGTTTGTGGAGAAGCAAACTGAAAGGCAGGGAGGCAGAATTTGAAAGATGCAGTTCTAAGAAACAAAGCATGCCTGTTATCCAGCAGAGCGCTCTACTTTCCGAGCTGCTCACATCACTTGGATTCATTTTCTGAAAGAAAACAGGCTGTCTCAACAGCAGCCTTATGGTCTCAGCAATTCGCTTCACAATTAGTCACTAAACTACCTTGATTTAATTATTCGAGAAGAATCTCACCGCTACTGATAACTGCTTAATTAAAAACACAACTTCAGAGCAATAAGAGAGTCACGTTATGTTGGAGTTGAAAGAGCTTTCAGGCTGCAAGCAGTTGCTGTTCATTTTACCCAGCTCAATGCCCAACGTATGCAGAGTCCCAAGGATTTTAAGAGTGACTCAAACAACAAACAGCGCTCCTACGTTGGTTGTTCTTCAGAGCCAACACAATTCCAGCAAAACCTAATTAAAAGAAGCATCACCACAGTGGAGCTAGAGGAAGAGCAGCCATCCCATATGCATGGAGGGAGACACCTCAGCTGCTCCAGGTTGGAGACTTTTGCCTGAGGACAGCAGCCCAAGAGCCACTCCTTTGGGAGAGCCTCCAAACTACCAGCACGCCATTGCCTATGTGGTCATTCCAAACCCCTCTCCTTTGCTGGTGCCAACTCCTTTGGTTTTAATGTGCTTTTGGGATAGCTGAAACTATACACCTATTTATATACCAAAAAAAAAAAAAAAAAGAAGAATTAAATGACTGCCTTCTTGACTATTATCTTCCTGGTTTATTGTGTGCCCTCTCTCCCCTTCTCTTCCCAGAGAGAGCAACCATCACATGAAAATGCTTTTCATCATCTGTAAAATTTGATGCCCAAAATAGCCCCACGGTTGCCCTAGCAACTAGCATTTATTCCCCCTCCCCCAGCAGCCCCCCCTTTGCATATTGCTGCATATTTCTATCATCTCTTTCCAGGCACAGTTCATAAACACGGCTGCATAATAAAGAATGTTATCACCAATGACTTACAGCCCAGCTGCTGCAAATAAGATATGAAGTGGCAGGGAAATACAATTTCATGCAGCTAGGACAACAGATTGATTGGGTGCCCTTCAAATTTGATGCCACTTCTTTAAGTCTGTCCAAATTCAAAAAAAAAAAAAAAAAAAAAAAAAAAAAAAAAAAAAAAAAAAAAGTTAGTTTCCCCACCTCCCCATCTTTCCATGGTGGCAACAGACAATAAAAGTGGGAGATAATTCACTAGGACACTCATTATGTCTGCAGCAACCTTGCCCTGAGAGATTGACAATTTAAAGAGATGCGCTGCTTTTCCCTGCCACCTCCTCTACTTTTTCCCAAGCCACTCTCCTTCATCAGAAGTCTTATTCCCGCAGTTTTGTTGCCTGTTTAATTCAATCATCTTCCCTTTTGAGTTATTATTTCTATTCAGATTGCCAGCCAGAAGGTTGGTATAGGCTGAGACAAGAAAAAATCCTTGGTTTCATTGCCACCACCTCCAAAATTTTATCCTTACTTGTATTTAGATATGAAAAACCTCCCATAGCATTTCTATCAAAGATCATCCCAGCAAGGACAAGAGGCGTGCTTCTAAATTCTTCTTCCCCCTTGTCACTTCTGACAGCTCGACCTTCAACGACCAAGAGCTGTGCTCTGGGAGCTCATCTGACCCTGCAGAGATCACCTGGTGGCACTGAGGTGCAACGCCTCACATCGAGGACCAGAGGGGCTGTGCTGTTGCACACATTGTGCTTCTGCTTGCTCAGGAGAGAAATGGGTGCACACAGAGGCAATCCCTGCACATCGTTGCAGTGCAGGACTTTTTTTCCCCTCCCTACCCCCTCTGCTGCTATAGGGGCTCATTGGATTTTTCTTCTGTTCAGGGAAGGCTTGCATCCCTGAGACACTGCTCTTCCCTCTCTCAGCTGCAAACTACTTTCCCCATGGGTTGTTCCTTAGCATATAAAGGATCCTTGGAGGGCTGGCAAGGATGAGGCTTGTTTTGCACTGGGGATGCTGGCACTTGGCCTTGGACACTGTGACTGGTGGAGGGTCTGGAGCACAAGTCTTATGAGCAGTGACTGAGGGAACTGGGATGGCTCAGTCTGGACAAGATGAGGAGGAGCAGGAGAGACTTTATTGCTCTCAACAACTCTCTGAAAAGGGGTTGTGATGAGGTGGAGGTTGGCATCTGCTCCCAAAAAACAACAATAGGAGGAGAGGGAATGGCCTAAAGTTGCACAAAGGGAGGTTCAAGTTGGATTTCCTCTCAGAAAGAGCAGTGATGCACTGGCACAGGCTGCCCAGGGAGATGGCAGTCACTGTCCCTGGAGATGCACAAGAAAAGGGTGGATGTTGCATTAAGTGACACGGTTTAGTGGTATGGTGATGGAGGATTGGACTTGATGACAGCAGTCTTTCCGACCTTAATGATTCAAGAGTCAAGATGTGCTACAGGTGCACTGGTTGGAAATTTGCAGAGAAGAAAAATCTAGTTTGGTTCCTCTTAACAAGAAGATAGAGACCCATTGTAAGTGGCTTCTGGTTCCAACTCTTACCTAGGATTACATAGCACCAGTCAAACAAATCAGAGAGGATAGAAATCAATCCTTGCAGAAGCTGTTCTCAAGTGTGGGTGGTAGGGAAACCCTTCCCTCCTGCCTTTATATTTTTCCAACACTAAGATCATTTGGAAGGAGAATCTTTGAGTGCTTATCTGCTGCATTAACCAACAAAGCACTGCCCAGCAGGCAGAGCAGAGAAGCTGAAGGTGTGAGGATGAGCATCTCTTTCATATTCATTGTGATCCCCTGCATCCCCTCCTCTCCCCTCAGCTCCTCTTTTCCCACCCCAAATTGCAACACTGGATCTCCAATGAGGTTTCAAAGCTCGGATCCATGCAATATTTAAGAACTGGATCTGAGTTCCAGCAGTTTTTACTCATTGACCTCGTGATGTTGTGATGTTTAAATGCACAAGACGTTTGCCAAGCAAAGCAGTTCAGAGCAGAATTACCGTTATTAAGATGAGAAATGAGGTTTTAAACTCCAAACTGCAGATTGGGAAAGTTAAAGCTGCTTTCAGCATCCATCTTAAAATATGTTCAGCGATGAAAAATTGAAGTCAGCTTTGAAGCAGCACCCATAGGTCACAAAAGGAGTGTTTAAGAGTAGAAGACACCAAAGAAAAATTGTTTCGTTTCTTATTTTCTTTGAGGTACCTTTAGTGAGAAAAATATAGAGTTAAGGAGAAGAGGAAAATACAAAAGGAGGAAACGGTTTCTTTTCACAGACTGATTTCTACCACCTCCTTCAAGGCATGAGCAGGTCTTTAATCTAAGGAGGGTCATTTCTGTGTCATTTCTCTGCCCTAAGTGGAGGCCAAGTTCAAGAGGACTCTATTCCTTTTAATTTCCTCTGGATAGAAATGCGAGGATACAGAACCCCATTTATCTTTCTTGTCCCAAGTAAATAAATTTAAAAAAAACTTAGTGTGTGCTATAAATACTCCATAATATAGAGAATCCAACACCACTTTTTTTTTTTTCCCCACCTAAAACCTTAAACCCTACTGACACCATAAAACACCGGTGTTCCGCATCCCGTGATTGTTTCCCATAATCTAGGGGCGCATTAAAGGGAGAAAAACTGTGCTGAAAAATGACATCTTATCTATTTCCTTCCTCCCTACCACCACTTCACGTTGTTGTCATCGCAGGTCAGACACCTGCTCCCCATGTTCTAATCTGTGGAAGTGATAAATGCTCGCAGGCAGTGATTACGAGTGGCCACATTCACTCGGTGTCAATCTGGAAGCCATTCTTTGTCCTGCCAACAGGGCAAGGAAAAAGGGAGAAAAAAGAGTATCTAATAACAGGAATTTTGCTCTTACCTCCTCCCGTTTGGAGGAGAGAGCTATTACCAGGTCTGGGCTCTATCCAAACCCCATATTGGAGAGGGGATGTTGCAACCATGAGCATTCTTACAATCTCTTGAGATACTGTGGGGTGATCATGGAATCATTATGGTTGGAAAAGACCTCTGAGATCATCCAGTCCAACCATCCACCTACCACCAATATTGCCCACTAAACCACGTCCAAAGGTTTAATATAAGGAAGATACATGATCTGGAATCTCCTGGATTTGACCATGACCTCCAGGAGGCTCTGGATATATTTGCAGA